AAATATTTGCGCAACGTGAATAGAAAACCAACTTATGCGTCCATATGTGTTTGCTATTTCTAACGAACACAATAATATCACTTGCAGAACTATCATTTAATATATTTCTCCAACTTGTAGCTAAATTGTCAAGGAATTGCTTTTCTTTGCAACATATATTAATATTTGAAGAAATTGTTAATGCTTCATTAGTGTCCGTTGTTTTTATAATGTCCTGTATTTCTTTTATTTCTTGCATTTGTTCATTATTTAAAGATCTTTCGTTGTTTAATTCCATAAGCTTTATAACATTTTTCTCTTCCTATAAAGCAGAACACTGTTATTATATCTTTTAAATATATTATTATTATATACAGAGTGTCCCACAATTTGTGAAATTTTAATAACACATTCCTGACTTAAAAATAAGACAAAAATCCTAATACCAGAATGTCGAGACTATAATAGTTTTCAGGATGTCCCATTTTAAAGGATCTATTCAAATATCTCAGAAATACTGCATTAAATAAAAAAATGTTTCAGACAAAAGTTTTGTGACTTCGAGGAGGACACAAGATGGCATCATTGCTTTGACCTTGGGTGGCGTTTTCAAGGTCAAGGTAAGGTCACTTTGAATTTTTTAAATGGAACTCCCTATTTTTCATTAGATATTCTTGTAGCTTACCTCAAGAGCTTTTCAAAACACTATAATTAAATTCATTTTCATTAAATACTTTTCGAGTTATAAAGCTTGCAAGTTATAGCATTAACATTACCAGACCGACGGCTAAAACCTCTTGAATTGTTCAGGATCATGACCTGGATAACATTTGTCAAGTTATAGAGGAAGTTGTTCCTTTTATTTTCATTTTTGCACTAAAATTCATTTCTACTAGAAATGAAAACAAGAGCTACAACCTCCGATGACATTAATCTTGACGAATGTTATTCAGGTCATGATCCTAAACAACATTCAAGAAGTTTTAGCCGGTCAAACACCTTAGGCAATGCTAATGCCGACGTACTATAACTTTCAAGTCCTATAATTCGCAAAGTATTTAATAAAAAAAAATTTTATTATAGAATTTTGAAAAATTCTCGAGGTAAGCTACAAGAATATCTAATGAAAAATGGGGGATTCTATTTAAAAAATTCAAAGTGATTTTACAACGCCATTCAAGGTCAACCAATAATATCATCTCGTCCCCCTCGAAGTCACAAAACTTTTGTCTGAAACATTTTTTAACACAGTTCTGAAATATTTGAATGGATCCTTTAAAATGGAACACCCTGTATGTATATATATATTTTTTTTTTAACTTATACTTTAAATTTGTACTTTTTTTTATATAACTTATGTGTCAATAGATAATAACTTACATTTGATTTCTGCTCTTTCTTTTCTAATGGTGTTATTTGAGGTGATAGTTGTTTTACATAAAATATATCTTTAGTTAGAATTAGTTTTGTCCTATTCCACAATGTATTCTCCTTGAAAATAATATATGTATAACATATATTTTAAAGTCCACTGATATTCGAATTAGAAAATAATTTTTTATATAAAAAATAAAACATAATTACAATTTGACGTAATTGTTGAAGTAATTGACTCTTTATATCAATCCTCTCTTTAACGCCATTAGACTCTTCTACTTTTTCCTGAGATCTTTGAGTAAAATCTTTACAACCCATAAGTATCTCAGCTATTCTCTCTGTTAAAATACGTTCTCTTTCTAGAGCTGTACGTCTTTGCAAAATGGTTGGTTCAATAGGCTTTCCTTAAAAAAGAAAAACATAAAATCGTAAATTAAAATATATATTTCTTATTAGATGCAAGTTTATCAATTGCATCAATTAATATAACGTATAATTACTTTTCTTAGTTCTACTGGTGGGAAAATTGTTTGTTGGTAACACATTTCTACTACTACTAAATCCAAAATTTTGCAATGTTGCTTTCTGAGGACATTCTGCATTATCTGACACTGATGGATTAGAGGATATTGCTACAATCTGAACTTCATCCCATTCTTCCATTTCCTCTTTTTCATATAGAGATTTGGAAAGGGCTAAAGCAAGCTGAAGATCAGGATCATCGTGCGATGCCTAAAAAATTATTATTTAAATCGATTAATCTAAAAATATTTGTATTATTGTCTTATCAATAATTCAATTAAGTTTTAAGAAAATTATCTCAATTAAAATTAGCATCAAGCTTCAATAATCTGGTAATTTAAAAATCATCATTTTGTAGATATTCAAACAATTAAATACCTACTATTTTACGAGGAGCAGATTTCTTTTTATCTTGTAATATAGGAGCGGAGAGTAGGCCCAACGATTTTCTTTCTGCAGCTTGCCGTTCTTGCAATTCCACAGCATCCATTAATTTTTTTGTAGATATGTTATTTTTCATAGCACAACTCTTCATATGTACAGCTTGTGAATTTTCATCTTTAAAACTTTTAAAACACAATGGACATACAAAAGCAGTTTTCACAGCAGTTGAACTTTGTGGTAATTCTATTTCTTTCTTTTCAGATTTAAAAAAAGATGATTCAATTAATGGTTGTTGTACATCACGAAAAATCTTTTTATTCTGTAATGGTTTTCCACTTTTAGATTTCTTTTCACTTATAATAATTTTAGGTTTAGAATGGAGTACTTTCTTTTTTACTTTATCTGGAAATCTATTACTGTTAATAATTTTCGATTGCATGGAATGTATTCTTTTTGGTGATTTAAAATCCAATATACTGTCATCAAATGCAGGTTGGGATGTACAAGCAGTATCATCCGTATTAGATTCATTATTGTTAGAAAGAACCTTGTTATCCGTACTAAATAAAAGAACATTTTTATGTTAGTAAAGGTATCCCAAGGTGATGATTCAAATAGCTTTTATTAATACAAAGAATAAATATCTTTGCAAAATGCAAATTTAATTTCATTTGATTTAGGAAAAAAGAATATAATAATAAAGACATGTGATATGTTTTATACTTCAAATATATTTTTATCATTATATGTTATAATATTAAAAAGATACATGTTATATTATTAAGTCGACTACAAAAGTTATTAACATATTTGATATGTTATAATATATACCTTTCCTTATCATTTTTTCTTAATCTCAATCTTCCTTCTAAACTACTAGGCTTACAGAATCCGTTCTTTTCAACGTCCATTACTGTTATGTAAACTTCGAATATTCTATTCAGCTTTAGCTTGCATATCCTCCGATTCAACTTCTGTTTTAGATTTAGTCTGTTGTCTATAATTCAATTTTTTTACCTCTTGAATAATACCTCTCAAAAATGGAATTGTAATGTAATTTTCTAACTCTTCTCTCTCGTCTTTTGGGAGAGTGAATTCTCTGATTATATTTTCGTCATTTAACAATGGAACGACACTGTAAAACAAAATTTCATATTAAATTTAAATTAAAACAGTGTTTTAAAAAAGTGTTTTAAAACTCTGTTTTAAATTAAATTAAAACAGAATACATTCAACCTTGGTGAGCTTATGTTCACCAGATGAACTAATTAAACATTACACCGAATATATAAATATTAATAATTATAAATATTACACCGAAATTGATTGGAAAATAAATAACGTAAATTGTAGATTTGTCTTAAAAATTTATACGTAAGTATATAAACCTACTTTTTTCTCCAGGAAATATACATTGCACCAGCATATAAAAGGCTTATGCTAAGTGCCGCGAGTCGAACATATTTCTGTAGCGGCGTGTTTCTAAGTTGACGTGGTTTTCTGTGCGTTTCGTCCGTGGGATCATGAAGCATTTCACAGAGATCGTGCGAGAGAAGGATACTAAAATAATATCAACGTGATTACAGAGATAATAACGATCTTATAATGAACTGCATTCAGGCATTACGCAGATAACTCTAGATTTAGGCTACGTTACGTATATTATAGCAAAAATGCACCCTAGAGTTATCTAGACTAGTAATTCCTGAGCCATGCTTTTTGTCACTAGATGGTATTGATGGTCAACACATCTAGTGACAAAAAACCGCGGATACTTTTTAGATGACCCAATATGTTTAATATTTGTCGAAAGCGAGAAAGAGATTTCTAGTGCAATCTAGTGCAGGAACAGAAAACAGTCATGATCCAATTCTTGCTGACAACGCTTATGAGCATCATTTATCTTTGTTTAACATTTTACAAACACAAGGATGAAATGATTTTTAAACGTGTGAGTGTGAATTGGATCGCGTGAACAGACCACATGTGATATTAACCTAATCTAATCTAGGGACTTTACTCTCGCTTGCTCATGGTGACCTGCTTCGACTTTCGAATCTTTCGACCTTTCAGTCATTTGAATCAGCATCAAGTAAATAATTAATCTCTACAATCTGTTTAAAATCACTTATCATCTAATTTAAAATATCTAAGTATTTTGAGCATCAAATTATTAAAAATTGCTTGTCAATTTAATTCGTGATATTACTACAGTTTAATTGCGTTTATAAGTCTGGAAAACCAATTCGGCGCACAGTTTGAATAATTATAAATATAGTATATATGCATGTGTATATATATATATATATATATACATACATATATGTATATATATGTATATATATGTATATATATATATATACATACATATATATATATACACACACATACACACATATACATCATACATATTTCATATATTTAATACACACACACACACACACACACACACACACACACACATATTATTTATATATATATATAGTATACATATATAGTAATTTAGATTGAATTATTTAAGCAGTAAAGATTTAGTTTTAACCGTTATAGCCATTACTTCTATTTCTTATTGTTGAACGTTAATAATTTTATTTATAAACATTTATCTCTCTTATCATTAAGATTAATCTAATATAAAATCTAATCATAATCATTAAGATTTGAATTTTTAAATATCATCCAATAATAGTTTAATTGCATTCATGCACGAGTATTTATTGAAATAATGAGAATAAGAAGTGTTTAAAATGTTATTTTATTTTTTTATTGGCATAAATTCAATTAGCGTAGGTTGTATGTATTCGTATATAACTCATCTGTGCTTGATAAAAATCTATCTTTCAACGGTACTTTTCGTGCAAATCTATAGTAGTGGAATTTATAATAGTTGTACAATATAACATATATTTCATAGTATCTTCAGTTTCAAAGTCATTGTATCACATTTTACAAAACAGGACATTGGATGTTATTTAAATGTATCTCTTGATTTTGCAAGATTTGATACATTTGATGCATTTTAGTTATGCCACGATTTATATGTAACGTACGAAGAATAAGTAATTATTAATATATCGATATTCGTGAATAGGTAAGTTAATTAACAGACCATATTGCATTTTCAATCCTTAAAAGCATTTTTTGAGAGTGCATGGATAACACAAGTACGCATAAGCATAGATAACACAAGTACGCAAATACAATACTTATGTAATACGAATATATAATAATACAGAGAAAATTATTTTTTTTTAACATATACTTCTCTTTCATGTTCAATAACGGAAAGAAATGGTGGAGATAACGACATTTTTTAAATACAATTATAAAACAATTCTGTAGTGTTTTAAATAGTCAAATAATGCTGTGTCATTTTTAAAAGATTACAAAAACTCGTAAGAATCCAATTAAAATATCTAATGATATATCAATCTCATATGAAATGTTGTCAAGTTAGTATTATGATGAGCTAAATTTACAACTATGTGCATTAATAACTTGGAATTAAACTAAATTCATCTAAATATGCTTTGGTAGAAGCATGATTAAAAACTATATAACTAAAAAATTAAACAAAATGTAAAACTTCACATGGAAGTCGGAGACCAAAAATTCATCTCTCTTAATTCTGATGGTTTAGCTTCGAGCACATTTGCGTAAACAGATGACTTATATATGTAAGATTTTGAGATGATATTGATTTTTTTCGATTAAGTGGTTTGCGTGGCTCCATATCTGGAAAGAGCTCATCTTCCTCATCTATCTTTGCTGTAATTACTTCTCTGGATTGACCTAATATGCTTGCCAAAATCCAATTACCCTGATATTTTTCTTTATCCGGTACAAATGCACCAGTGAAATACCGGTTATGTAGCTTTCTGCGTGCTTTCGGTGAACTGTCTGGAGATCCTGTTGGTGACGTTAGTGGTGTCGCTGGTAATGATTTGCTGACACTTTTCATCGAGTTGTCTGTCTGCTGAGAACGCGAATCCGATGTGAATACTTTGGTGAATTTACCAGACATCATTTGACTAGCTACATGAACGATTGATTTGCCACAAAGAGCCGGTTCACCATGAAAACCGTCATCCGTTCCCTGTGATTTAAGTTTTACATTTCCGCTCACTGAAGCTTTATCTACTCTAATACCACCAGCTAAAATAATATATATCATTATAACAATAGAATAATATCAATGAAAATTTATTTTGCAATTATTGAAAGTTTTTTCGCGCTAATTGGATTATGCTTTTAGATCTAAAAGTATTATCCAATTAGAATGAAAAAAACAGTTGTAAAATAAACGTTCTGCTGAACGCGAGCAATCATAATATTGTTAATCAGTGTTTCACATATTTAAAAAAAAAACAAAATTTTTGATAATATACCTGTATTATTTACAACCGGTATAAACGGTTGACATGGCAATGGATGTTTGCTAAAATCAATCTGCTTGACTTCTTTCAAGTCAGAAATGGATTTTTCATTCGTTATCTGATTCGTAGAGGTCGCAATATTTTCGTTTAAAACCTCAGTTACAATGTGCTTCAATCCGTGTTGTGGTTGAGTATTTTGCGATCTTGGATATCTTACGTAAAAGAAACTATCGTCATAAGATGGTGGACTGAATGCAGCTTCGTCAAAATCAAATCTAAAAAAAATATATTATGCCTGTAGCATATGATGCAATTTTTTATACTAGATCACATGTAATCTAGTAAATTACTAAAACCAATACATAGGACTATGTTCAGATTCCCACTTGAGTGCCACTCGGATATCATTTTGTCCTTATCAGAATAAGATTTCATTTGTGCGTTTTGGACAAATCATATGACAAATGACTACAGAACAGAAAGGATCTCTCTATCTTATAGCCAACAGGTTTAAAGAATACATTAATAGGCATAAAAAATGTTATTCGAAAAAAATGCACAAACATAACATTCTTGGGTTAATATTCTATTTGTATGACCAATTTTTCGAGAATGTAGAATAAAAAAATTTTGAAGTTTTTAGAAATCCTTTATCTTGTGGTTAATCAAAACACTTGAAACCATAAGAGAAATGAAATATTAGCCTTATTCTAAATATTAATCAAGGATAAAATGATACCTTGGCTGTACTCGCTTTGGTGCTCACAATGCTTTAAACGCCATTTTATCCTTGTTCATTAAATATTAAACAAAGACAATTGACTCAAAAAACGCTGTAAGTGTCAAAACGAATGCAGCCCTGGATAAGAATCTGAACACATCCTAAAACACAGAATTTGTAATAATTTACTAGATTACATATAAAATCATATCAAGGCCATAACTTTTACATTAACGCAAAATAATAAATATTAAGATTAATATATATTAATATTTATTAACACAAGTACTTCAGATAATTGTCAACTAAATGAATTTGATCTCATTCATATGATATTTTGTATAGAATAATAATACCTGTATAGTTTTATAAGAAACACTTTATCCAACAAAGAATATATACAAACACTGCTTAACTATAAATAACACATAAGCCAATTTGGCCAAGTATCAAATGCATGCAATAACAACTTCAAACATTCTGATGTTGTCATAGCTAGTAATTATAATAATTATTTGGATATACAATTATTATAAAAATATCTCCATAAAATGTGTTCAATGATAAAATTTATTAGAGACAGAACCTACCTATTATCCATTTTTCCTTTCATCCATTGTGGCAATGAAATTCCACTACCAAGAGATCTGTCCTGCTGCCTCGAAGTACCCATCTTTGTGTAATTTTATAGATCAAATAGCAAACTTGAATGCTTTATGTTAAATAATAATTACGTGTGCTCTTAGTACAGACACTACCGTATCTGCTGATACACGAATTCACAAAATGACATGCCAAAAGATGATGCTTTGTTATCCATCTTATCTCTCACAAGATCGGTATAGGTATACGTGCTATTGTTTGTACAGTTGTATAATACAAGAAATTAGTAGCAGCAATTCAATTTTTAGAATTTCGACCAAGTTACCGTTCGATTAATCTGCAAGTTCGCAAATGTTTAGGATACAGAAAAAATAAAAATACATTATTAACATACAATGAAAACAGATATGTGAGATGAATCAATACTCACTTTCTTATTCATGGATAAAATAATGATAATCTTCATAATTATAACCTGCCACTTTTACAGAAATAGCAATGAATAAACGCAATATTGATAATAATAAGATTACGCCATGTTGATAGCTATAATGGCTGACAAATCGCTGCTGATGGTGCATGCGCACAATCGCAGAAATACTAGGGAATAAGGGGCTCCGCACAATAAAAGGAACAGAGAACAGAGAATAAGAATTTCAACCTATCAGAAACTGTGTATTCCACAATGTATGATTTCTGATAGGTTGAAAAGATTCTTATTCTCTGTTCTCTGTTCCTTTTATTGTGCGGAACCCCTAAGAGTATGACACTAGAGATTTAACCTGATTATTGCAATTACGTTCCAAAATTTATCGAAATTCGATTGTTGTCTTGCGTAATGTTTACTGTGCGCTTTAAACACGTGAGACAGATAAAAGTTCGGAAAAACGCAAATAGAAAGGGAAAGATATATCCGTATTAAAAAGAAAGAAAGCAATTTTATTATTTTAGATAAGTGAAAAGAATACACACTGATCAAGAAACAATTTATGGCAATATTTAAATACAGTATGGCAGAAGTGGCAGCAAATTTGAAATCTGTTTGCGACAAGATATCATATGCTGCCACGAAGAGAACATCGGTATTTTTTTTCCGTGCATTTAGTGTTTAGTATTAATTAAATATATAAGTTTATGTATGTAACTATTTAGTACATTTTTTAAATGCGCTAAATAGTTATATAGAGAACATTGCGTTTTCGTTAATGTAAAGGTTAACTCGCATGGATCAAAATATTTATCTCATTCTCGCAGGAGTATCAATATTATGAACCGCGACTAGTAGCTGTTAGCAAATTGCAATCTACTGTCTCGATAGTATCCGCATATGAGGCTGGTCAAAGAAATTTTGGTGAAAATTATATAAATGAGTTAGTGGAGAAGGCTTTCAGCCCATTGATTCGTGAAAAATGTAAACAAATTCAATGGCACTTTATAGGCCATTTACAAAGAAATAAAGTCAACAAAGTTTTAAGTATACCAAATTTATATATCATTGAAACTGTCGACAGTGATAGACTTGCAAATGCGCTCAATAATTCATGGCCAAGATTTCGAAAGAACAATGACAAGTTAAATGTCATGGTACAAGTTAACACAAGTCAAGAAAAGGGTAATAAATTATTTATTATATTTTATGTGAGAAGGTTATATTGAATAAAGTAATTTTCAGTTCAATACATTTTTTTGGATTATCTGTATAAAAATAATTGTAATTACAGAAAAAAATGGTTGTGATATTGCACAACTATCAACGCTCGTAAAACATGTCGTAGAGAATTGTTTTAATTTGAATTTTATGGGTCTTATGACAATAGGAATGTATGGGTATGATATTAAAGATGGACCAAATCCTGATTTTATTTGTTTAATAAAGTGCAGAGAAAAGATACATGATGAATTGGGAATTGATATAAAAGATATTGAATTGTCAATGGGCATGTCCAGTGATTATGAACATGCGGTAAGGTCTTTGGATGATTGTAAACAGTATATTAAAATATATACAGAGTTTATGTTCTTATATGAAATGCATCTATTATTTTCTATTGTAGATTGAACTTGGCAGTACAAATGTGAGAGTAGGAAGTGTCATTTTTGGCATCAGACCACAAAAAAATAATCAAAAAGATATAATATAATTGATATATTAATAAATATATTAATAAATCAATTTTGTCTTGAAAAAAGAGGATGTATAGGTATATATTTGTTATCTTAACATATATATATGTATCATATATATATATATATATGTGTGTGTGTGTGTGTGTGTGTGTGTGTGTGTATTACAAATATTTTTTTTGCAGCAAATATAGTTAATTTTCTCTATATTTTAAGATTATCAGAATTGAATGTTTGCTATATTTTTAAGATCTTTCCTATATATATATAAATATATATATAACGATTACAAAAATAAATGTAATGATGTGTAAAGTGTTAATAAAGATCATTAAGGTATATTAGAATTAAATTTATGCTCTATTATATGTTATATTGATAACTGTATTATTTCATTTTTTTAATTACAAAGACTATATATTATATAAATTCCACGAATTTCGTAAATAAATACTTAATTTCAATTTTATAAACTAAGCAAGCATAAATTAGTTATTTGATCTTTTTGATCTTTCTTACCTTATGAATCTACAAGGAATTTTTGTAGGTAACTTCCTGCCTTATTTTGTATGTCTCAATAATAAAATGTAATAATATATAGAAATTCTTAACAATCAGTGAAATCTATCTACAAATTAATAGTTAAAATAAGTTAAGAAAAAAAATATATTTATCTTTTATTTTAATATAAATCTGATATTTTTATAATAGGGAATTATATGTACATTTTAGAAATAGAAATTGTTTTATTTCTTCTTATCTTTGTTCAGATTAATTTATAGATTAATTTATAGATTTATATTAACTGGATAGCAATTATTAGTAAATACTACTACATAAATTTTTCCACTCTTCTCTCAAACCTTTCTAGATCAAATTTTATAATTGATATAAATATAACATTTTATAAAATAAAATAAATTTTATTAATTTATTCTTATTAATTTATGCATATAATATTGATATAATAAAAGGGCGTGGTCCAATTCCAATCCTCAGCCTCATTATGTCGTACGGACACACATATGTAGGTCACCTTCACCGTTTTTTTTTTACAGGAGCATGGTTCAAATGTATCTTGTGCAAGGTCACGAATATTACGCAAGTTACTGCTCTTAAAAGTTATGGAAGTCAGTCAGTTACTTTCTTCACAAAATCACAGGTCGTATGCAACATTGTTTGCCCAGCAGCAGTGATTGATCGGTCAAAACTGAAGCGCTACGTTCTATATACCAAGAATTAAAAAGATGTTTGTATAACAAAACTACTGAATATTTTTACATAAATTTCGTGCTGCCATCTTTTGTCTCTAAAATTATGACAGAAATTATTCTCTATTTAATTTTGGAGAATTTCGTTTTTTGAAATTAAAATTTTAAACACGTTTTATTACTTTATGCATTCTTCAATGATAAACAATTCTTTCACACATTACTCGAAAGCAATTTTGCTTATAACCGGTACTTTTAAAAATTCACGAAATTTTATTTTGTTGAGAAGGTATTCTTTGTATTTTAGGGGAACACAATTTGTGTATTATTTTAAAAAATAATTTGAAATTTAAAAGACTTAGATGAGAAGACTCGTATAATGTGCTTCTCTTACATGCTTCTTTGTGCACACGCAAGCAATAACGAAAATAAAGAAAATCAAATCAATCTAAACATAAGTTGCTCCTATAATATATATCAATAAAGAGACGGCTCCTGTGCAACTTTATGTAAACTTGCATCAGACAATCGTAAATGAGGAGATTGGTGCTCACTGTAGTCCACGTGATGTAATATATTCATACGCGAAGCACGAGATATGCACGATATTGCATATAAATTTAAAAGTGACATGAGAAATCAAGTTATAAGTTTATGTTTTAGTATGTAAGTGTAAATAAGCATGATATGAAATAAAACATTTATTGATACTCGATTGCACTATAAATTTCTTTTACGTTTTTTTTTTATATTATTTTAAAAATTATATATATGTTTTACACACACAGAGTTATTTGCTGATTATAAAAATGAATGCAAAGCATTGTTTGAAACTATAAAAAGAATTGTATGTTTAAAGTGATGGGGTGTGTAAAATAGTATAAGCGGACGTAAAACTTGAATAATAAATGAATGCATCGATCATATGAACACACTCGAGAATTCAAAAACAATATTTAAAAATACATAATCTATTTGCAATTTCATTATAATTTTTTGTTTTTTCACTTTTTAATAATCTACTATGAAATGCAAAATGTTGACATATAAAAAAAGGTACTGATTTTCACATATTACACATACATGCAGGACAAAAATTCATACGATTTTGCGCTCCGAATATCATTTGCACACGATTGCAAGAAAACAATATTAGAACCTTAACCCGCGCAATCATTGAAGGCGTAAAATATATTCCATAGCTTAACAAGATATAAATTTTATAACTATATGATGCAATAACGCCTTACTATGAACAGTGGCATTCGTACATTTACAACAAGAAGTTTTTGGAAAAAATGCACCATGCACACTGGACAGGTTTTCTTCAGCACGTATAAATAGACTGTTAGATTTAAGAGCATTCAATCGTTCCTCGTGTTTCAACGGGAAATAGAAAAACAATCATCATGTTCAAAGTAAGTGCCTTCAAAACAGAAACAGTTTTAATTATTATTATTTGCATAATTTTCATATTCATTAATTTATAGAAATTGATAAAAATATATATAATGAGGCTTTAAATTAAGATTACAGATTATTATACTTTCCTAAAATTATAATATTTGTATTAATTATAAGAAAAATGTATAACTCATACACTACATGATTATTAACGTATTAATTTCATAAAACACAAAATCGACACGATTATCAACATATATATAAAACTAATATTTTTATCTTGAAAGAGATTGGACACGATAATGTAATCTGAAAAGACGAATTTAAATGACCAGTTAATATTTTAATAAATAATAAGATATAATATTTCGAAAGTTTTAATTAATTAAGATAAATAAGTGTTATTAAATTTTGCAGCTCTTGGTGGTGTTCGGCCTCTTGGCTGTTGTAAACATCTGTTATGCCGGCTGGGTCGCACCAGCTGCAATTGCTGTTCCCGCTAAAAGTATGGATAATTCTTATTTCACATGATATATAAGACTAAAAAAGTTAAATATCCTACATTAACGATTTTAGAAATCGTTCTCCAAATCTATCAAAATCACGTGTATTACACGAATGATAGGCTTAAGGCTACTATTATTACGAATAAATTATCATTATTACGGATAAATTGTCGTTAGAGGATGTGAATTATTTTTCTGCTTTTTTTTTCGTCTACCTATAATAATGTGACCCTGTTTTTTTTGACTGAATTTTTGCACCAGTTCATCTTTCTTCCTCTTCTTTCCTCCTCCTCTCCAGAGAGAAAAGAAAAAAAGATGAACTGATGCAAAAAGAACAAACCTAATCTAACATTCGCTATAAATTTGTTTCAGCTGCGTGGGCTCCTGCCGCTGGATGGGGTGGTGCCGGATGGGGTGGTGCTGGATGGGGTGGTGCCGGATGGGGTGGTGCTAAATGGGGTGGTAACGGCTGGGGTGATGCTGGATGGAATGGTGCTAAATGGGGTAACAGCTGGGGTGCCGCTCCCATTGGAGTTAAGCTAGGCTAAATCTTTTTTATATTGATAAAAAACTCGCCATTATCCCACCAACTACACATCGCAGAATGTACCTTGTCTTTAATATCAGATACATACAAATTTGTTGATGCATTTCGCAATTCTCCCTAAAGTCAATATTCACAAAATTCTTTCCTTTTTCTATTAGAACATTTTTCCTCCGTCCCAACACTTGAAATTGTTGATAAATTATTGATAAGCGCCGCGAAAAAAAAACATGAAATAATAAAATTTCATATAAAATACATGAATGTTGTTCTTTCAGAAAGCATGTTTTATTCCCAAGCATCTTTCTTCTTACTCTTAAATTAAACTTTTCCTAAAATAAAATGATATGCGTAACACGTGTGATAGTAACTTCTGCCGCACATCTTATCTCCTTATGATTTACAATTATAATTCAATCTCTTAAGAAAACGACTAGACTTATGGATTGAAAAATGAAGCTTTGATTATATAGATTATAGATTTTTATTGCGTAACTATTTACATTGTAGTGTCATTAATTTGTCACGTACAGAAGTGTATAGTTACAAGTATCGAGGATTTTCGAATAAATATATGTATATTATATCATATAAAGTCCCGTGATATGGATGTGATCGATTTAGTAAGCATAAGCAATTCCGATCGGGCTGCTGTAGCTCATATGAGATACCTCAACGGCCGGCGAGTAAGCGACTCCAAGAGCAGCCGGACGCACAGCCGCTGGTATAGCGGTTGCAGCATAAGTCAACGGGGCTGGATGAGCAAGATGAGCATAGGTAGTGACAGCAGGATTAGTTACACGGATATCAGCCTTGCTCGAGCTAGAGAAAGGTGTGTCGATGGTCTTCGTTTGCGTGGCTACTTGCGCCAGATTACCGTGGCTACGTAATATATTATCGGATGTCGACGTGATAGCGGGTTGAACGTGCGCTATCGGCTCGATATACTGCAGGGCGGAAGGCAGTCCGATATAGCCGGCGTTAGCCACAGCCAAAACGCAGATGATTACGAATAGCTAAAATAGAATTTTCAATAATGATTTAAAATTTTAAGAACACAGATTTATTCTTATAAATAGGTTCCTTATATTAGATAAAATCTTATTCATTGCAATTCATTGTACATACCTTAGCTGCCATTATGTTATGCGGGGAAGATCCTGCGATGTGATCCTTAATCGTGTCTGAACCGAAATACGAATGCTACAATCCATGACAATCGGTACTTTTATACTTGGCGGACAAACGACGAGACACACGAAATCTTTCGGTACCCTCAGTTCGCCATGGTGGGATATAGGGTCAAGGATATTCTTAATATTACGCCATTCTCCGAACGTCTTACTCCCTGTTAAGTCATTATGCCCTTACGATGATTTATGAGTACTTAAAATGTGGGTATGTTTTCTCTTATCTATAACATGCGAAATAATATTAGTTATCTATCTCTATTTCTAACAAACTTTATAAATTTGTAAAATCTCATTATTTCATGATAATGTATCGAACTTCTAAAGACATTCACAGTTTACACATAGTGTAATGTAAGACAAAACAAAATAAAAGACCTAAACAATTTCAAGGATGCGCAGTAATCAAATTCGTTCAATCAGAAATTCGTTCTAAAAAAGGAGTCAAATTTTGAATTTTCTTATTTATTATAAGACTTAAAGATGTATCACACGTACAATCCTTGCAAAGAAAATTAAATTTGGAAATGTATTTAACACTTATACCTCAAATAAACTGTATACATATGAAAGTTGTGTGAATAAGATTACATTTCTATTTAATAACACTTTTGCCGTTTATTTATTTTATTTGTTGTATTTGTTATTAATTTTTTATTGTTAAAAATTAAAATTTTTTAAATAATAAAAATCTAAATTTTTTTATAAGTTCTTTAAATATTCAAAATAACTTATGCAGTTTCATTCCGATTCACTGATTAGTTGCAAAGTATAAAAAAAATTAATGTTTTGTTTATTTACAACTAGTTCATCGCAATGTAACGCTATACATAAATAATCTTGAATACATTATGTATTTATATTAAAAAATTGAGATTTTTGTCATATTTTATAATATATTTTCATACATTTAATGCAACACAGATTTAAAAAATACTACTATTTATTTAACTTATGATCTTTAGATAATAGATAATAAACCGTTTTTGTAAATTTGTTTATTTTTAAATGTGATTTAGAATAATCTATAATTTTTTCATAATTTTGTTATCATTTTGAAAAATATGTGAAACATTCTTAAAGCGAATTTATATATGTACATATTTATATATTTAGAAAATTATATACACATATCAAAATTTTTTATTTTTGCAAATAAAATATAAGCAAAAGAAATAAAGCAAGGCAATATGAAGAACTTGTGTAGCCTTTCTTGTTTTGCTTTCAATTTAATATTTACAAATATAAAATTTCATATATTGTTATATTAAAACATTATATGTGTGAATTTTATATCGATTGGTGCCGCACCTTCGTCTTCAAAACTGGAACATCCGGCTTGGCCACGCCTCTGAGCGGAAAGTAGTCTAGCCTTGTGCTCCCTCTCAAACTTTTTCTTTTGGGGCGTAACTCGTTACAATTACATTTCATACTGTATTCAGGAAACTGGTATCAATGACATTATCAGCATCTTAATTTTACAAATCTTATTTTATAAATCTGCATTCCTGTTCCAATTCTGTATGAATTCTTGATATTTGAACATTGAGAAATTTTACTTATTGGTAAATAATATGGGGAAGATTAAATATGCATAATAAAATAAAAAAATATTAATAATAAGATTTATCCAAATATTATAATATTATAATATTATATAATACAACTTTTATTATTATGAAAATAATACCAATGATTGTAGAAAAATATAATCTGATGAATTATATACTCTTTTTTATTATACATCTACAATTTATTCTATTTCCACTAATAACATTGAGCACGTGCCATCATAGAAATTTTTTGCGCCTTCTGCACTATATCAGGACAACGTCGTCGCCTTACTAATCTGCAATCTTGAAAAAAACCTTCGTTTCTCGGAAATCCATGTGATCCGTCAGCATAAGTCACTAAACCTGTGGTTAACAAATAAAAACTGTATAATAATAATTTACAATTAAAAATTATGTTTATATCTAATCCGATAGTCAGAATAAATTGCAGCACTTTATTTGTAAAACTATAAAGTAATTAATAATAAATTATCAATTTAATTATGCACCTAAGCCCCAGACACGACCTCCACGGAATTCCCCTTCAAATTTCATTCCATCGGCTCGCCAGAACACACCATGGCCGTGAAACCATCCTTGCATAAATTCTCCTTCATATCTAAAAAGAGAATGGTCTTGTACAAATATATATGGAACGACATTCTGAGTGAAACGCGTAATTTTAAAATAAATTTGCTGCCTAAAACTTACTTTGCTCCATCGGGAAATACAATCACTCCCAAGCCGGAGCATAATCCATTTTGAAATGCTCCATCGTATCGCGTTCCATCCACAAGAACTAATAGACCAGCACCATGTTTTAGACCCCTACGATTCCAATCGCCAATGTATTTTGTACCGTCATCATATTTGTATGCACCATTCTTTGCCACACCTGTAGATGCACATACATAGGTATTTAAAATAAGAAAATCAAATATTCTATTCTATTTAATAAAAAAAAAACGCCTTTTCTTCTCAACGTTTCATGTATAATTAATGATATTTCAATTAAATAAATAAAAGAAAATTTTAATTATATATTAAAACAAATGAAGTAAATGTTACAATCACATATTCTTACCGTCGCCCATGTCTGCATTGTACTGAACGCATTTAAGTTAGCTGTGATTTTAATCCACTTACAAAAATCAATTCTTTATTCAATTAAGAAAGATATCTAGGATAAACAAATATAAAGAGACCCTGGGAGATGCTCGGGAAAGTATATTACGGATTAGACACGTAAATAAAAACAATCACATACAATAGATATAACATATTAATATTTAATAATAAGAAATTTACATTTTTCAGAATGTATATAAAGTAAGGCTAAAGATATTTATAAAATCGCATTAATATATATATATATATATATCGGAGACACGTAGTATCTCGGCATTAAAATATATATATGTATATGTATATATACAAAACCAAATTGCAATATCGTTCATTCCTTTGACTGTTCTCCAGATGCACCCACTAAGTACCATCGTGTTCTCGCATTTACTGCAGCCTTTCTTACTAAACGTTTACGATCATCAATTATTACCCCCAATTTGTCTAATACAGTTTGTTTGTATGGATTGATTAGAATAGTGGGATAATTAGCATAATGCGCTAGGCATTCTAAAACCGCAATTCTAACATCCTATCAATATAAGTATTGATTTATATAGTGATACAATAAAAATTGGAAAAGTTAAAATTAATGTAAATAATTACCATGATTCGATGCGTTGATAATTGTATAAGTCTTGGTATAACACATTGTAAATTATCAGAAAATACATCGTGTTTAGTATCAAGTAATAGTTTAAATGACATCAATGTCCAGAGCACTAAATATTCATTGCTAAGAGATAGAGACTCAATCAACAGCGGTACTAACTAACAACATAATATATTGATCAAAATATTTGTATTGCAAGATAATATTTTATCATCAATCCACCATAAAAACTTACCTCAGTTAAATGTAAAAATAATAATTCTTCAGGCATTTGTTCTAGTAAATGTACCAAAGCAATAAGATAATTCTGTCTCATTGTGCTTGTAAAATTAATATTTTGTCGTAACAAATATTCGAATACTCTTTGTTTATAAAAAATTTTCACATCGCAGAAATTTTCCGTTATTAAAATATCTTCATATTTATTTACTAAAATTTGATATTGCTCACCTACAAATTGACCTATTTCATCATGAATTAATAACAGTGTAAGCTGTAAAAACAAACATAGAAAATATTATTTTATCTATATTATTTATATTATAACTGAGTATTAAATTATTATAATTTATTATAATTATTATAAACCATGTACGTACATTCTCAAGAAAATATTGAGACTTTACGTATCCTCTCATAACGAGTGCTTTAGTCATCCAAATTTGAAAGTTAACTGTATGTTGTTTTAATTTAATATCATTGTCGGCACTTAAATTATTATTTATTTTGTTTTCTAGATAAGATACAATTCTATCGAGATTTGACACTTCTATTTTATTTAATAATACAGATAAAAATTTACAGCTTGTTTGCCTTATATCCAGATTGCAATTACTAGTTGCAATATTATACAGATTTTCCGCCATATCATTATTTAGATTCAAATCAATATCTTTTCGTAAAGAAATGAAAAGATTCATTATTACAGTTACATCAGTTTCGGGAATCTTTGTATCTAAAGCCCCAGCATATTTCGCTACAATTGCACGTTGTTCCTCGATTGTAAGATTTCGTACAATTAACTGGCAGATATTTGATATCAACATTTTATGATCGACAATATTTGTCTCATATAAAATTAGTTTATCAATAATATGACATTCCTTATATAGAAATTGATGTATGTTGTAATCAGATTTTTTTAAAGCAATTAATTTCTGGATATTTAGTAATATTGTAATACATATATCAGTATTAACAGTATCCGTTAATATTGTAACAATTTTCGGGAGTATTATACAACCTAATCCGTGTATCTTTGCAATTGCTGATAAAGCTTTTATTCTACGTTTCAATAATTCTACTTCCATTTCATCTGAAACATTTCATTAATATCACTTTTATGCATTAAGTAAGTTGACATCAATTGTATATGTATATTTAACTTACCTATATTTGATAACAATCTTTCTTTAACTAACATTATTATTTCTTCAAGATACAACGTTGCAAAATCTATAATAGTTGTATGACATATAATTTGTATTTTATCGCATCCTGTTCCAATTTCATTACATATCGCATTATATAATATAGAACGTTGTACACCGTTTAAATGTGCCTTTTGGATTGTTAAACCAAAGAATATTTTACTTTTTAATTCAATATTTTCTACTGTTAAACTATCTAAATATATTTGAGGTATATTTGTCCATGATAATTCTGGAACATCTGGATTAAATTTTTATTATTTATATATTATATATAAATATATAAAATGTCATACTATTACAGTATAATAAATAATAATATATTTCAACTTACCTTGAAAGCACAAATCATAATTAGAACATATTTTCATCAAATTATTTAACGTTTCTATCAATGCAATCTTATCGTTAAATGAATTCTTTGTAGAGTATTGTCCAATACATAAAGGTATTATAATTTGCAATATTTGTACACATATTGTTTTATTAATTGCAGCTATTGTTTCCAGTAGTGTTTGGGCAGGTCTATACAAACTAAGTTGCACATCGCATAATGATGATTTTACGTCAACGATTATTTTGTCAATAAAATTTTTTGCAACAGTTTCATCAACCGATATAACTTTAATTAAAGATGTTATTGCTTGTAAAGCAGTGTCTCTTATTTCAATGTCTCTTCCTGATATTACTTCTTTTTTTAAAGTTGTCCATAGATCTGGTAGATATGATTCTATCTTGGACAATCCAAATATTTGAACACTTTCACGAAGTAAATTTAAAGAATCAAGTTTAGCAACTCTGAGAGTAGAATATGATTTATCAATTATAAGAGGTAAGCAATAATCTGCAAACTCTGGGATGGCGCATAAGCAAGGTGCTAATTTTTCTGCTAAATCTTCTCTTGTTACATTTAGATTCTCTATGCCAGACTGTAAAACATTTATAAATTATATATATTTAAATGTTACAAATGTTACATAAAAAAGACAGAAAAATAAATTGATAATGTAATTACAGGATTAAAATCAACTGGAAAATAACATGCCATAACTTCAAACATTTCTTCAATTAAATGACCTAATGGAAAACTTTTTATAAAATGTGGTAGTATATTAAACAATAACATGAGGTTATTTGGATCTCTTTCACCATCCATAGAGCTGATAATACCATAAACTAAATCTGGTCCCATGGGTTTCAAATCATTTAATCTGTTTTCTATCAAACTTTTAAATATTAAGTATATTTTGCGACGTTCAGGCAACAGCTGAGATTGACATTGAACATGTTCAAACATAACTCTTAATAAGGACGACGATGCATTCTGAGATAAATGAATCATGTTCACCTAAAAAGAAAGTTTATAAAAAATTAATAAAGAAATGAAAAAATGAAAAATAATGCAAGAGATAAGAATGCTTCTTAAATAAATGCTTACAATGGCTTGAATACCACTTAATACAGATGGTATAATACTATAATGATCCTTCATTCTGTCGCAATAAAACGTTGTAATAAAATACAATTCTGAATCAGTAAGATAATCTTGGGGTAATTGTAATAAAACTGAAGAAAGAGCTGTAACCCCTTTTTCTCTCGTAAAAACATTTTGATCTGTCATATAGGAACCTAGTATCTCCACAAATGTATAAAGTTTTATAGAACCTGATTCTATTTCTAAAACAAAACATGTAGTATCTTCTATGATATTAATATTAAATTAATTTTTATAATTATATAATAAAATATTTATACATTTCAATATACTTGTTACAGTTAAGAGACATAACAGTTCTCACATAGGAAGATTTACATTTGTATAAATATGTAACTTGAAATTTTACTAAATTTCTCTGAGTTGAAAAAATTATTAAATTAAAAGAATTAAATGCGTTATTTGACTCTTTCTAAAAAATATTTGTATGAAATATTAAATATAAAAATGAATATTTGAATGTAAAAATTTAAGTTTTGTATCTCTCACTACATCTTTAACATAACATCTTTAACACAAGTACATAAAAAATTCATTTTAAAAAAATTTTTTGTAAGTACGTACCGGAAGCTATATTTCTGCATAGTGAACTTAGAGCCGTTGTATCTTTAAGACTAATATCTAATTGTCCTTTTAAATCAAAATTCGGTGGTAAATCCATAACCAAAAAATGTTGTTTACACGAGATATTCAGTGCACACTACACACATGCTCGAATTGCTTTGGTAAAAAAAGCAACTAGAGAGGAATGTAAAGAAAGAGAGATTAGGCGCATTCAGCGAATATCGATAATTGAGCAAACGCTGTTATTGGTATATTCTTTTAGATTATCCAATCAATATTTTAGATCTAAAAGAATACATCAATACCGTAACAGGAACAGTAAAGTTTTGACCAATCGCGTTGCTCGATTGTTATGATTACGGTTACGGACGATCAAATCGAGCAATGATCGATTTTCGATTGGTTAAAAACTTACGTTATGTTTACGGTTACTATTACGGAAAGTGTGTATGATTAGCTTTAGTTTCTATCCTCCATAATTTCTATCCAACTTTCCAGCGTTGGCGGACCAATTTTTATAATATAAAATTTATTTTATGCATTTTTAATTCGAAAATTTTGTTTATTAAAGTTTCAACATGCAAAGTAAAAAAAGTGAGGTAAATTAATAAACATGAAATAATACTTAAATATTTGTCGAAAGCCGATTCTACATTAATTGCAAGCCGATCGCAAGTTTATTGCGACAGCCAATCTGAAGCTTGCATTTTGAAATCAACGCTTTATATTGGCTGTCGCAACAAACTTGCAATCAGCTTGTAACTAATGTAGAATCGATTTAATATATTGGGTCATCTAAAAAGTATCCGCGGTACTTTGTCACTAGATATATGACCATCAACACACATCTAGTGACAAAAAACCGCGGATACTTTTAACCCAATATCTGTATCTTTAATATATTTTTAATTCGAAACCTTTATAATAATGTATAAACTTACCTATTTATAATTTTGATACATCTAAAATAATTTCATCACTTTATTAATCAAAGCTTCTACCTTCTATGCTCTATGTAATAGAGAAGTCTAGAGCTCTTCTCTAATAGAGTCTCTGTTAGACGCGATTTTACATTGTTCTAGTTTCCACCAAGGATTTAAACCGGATTAGAATGTTATAACCAACCAACTACAGTCGAGTATTGTTGCAATCGAACGACAGAGGAATGCTCGACTATAGTTGGTTGGTTCTTACATTTTGATCCGATTGATTTAAACTCTCGGTGGAAATTAGGCTTATATTGACGCGGCTATCTTTAGGAACTCTAGGCGGATAGATGTTGGTGTCATCGACAGTCACCTATGGCCCTTCTAGTATTAAAGGGCTTTGCACAATAAAAGGAATAGAGAATAGAAAATAAAAATTTCAACTTATCATGCATTGTGTATTCCACAATGCATGATTTCTGATAGGTTGAAATTCTTATTTTCTGTTCCCTGTTCCTTTTATTGTGCGGAGCCCCTAAGAATTTCTACCTATCAGAAATCATGTATTATAGAATACACAGTTTCTGATAGGTTGAAGTTCTTATTTTCTATTCTCTGTTCCCTGTTCTTTTTATTATACGAAATCCCTAAATGTGCAGTACTGTGCTTTAGAGAGAACTTCCGCTGTATGCGCGGGATACGAGAAGTACACTTACAATGCCTTACATTATGCCGGGATCAGCAAGGTGTAATCTTTTCACATCTTATTTACGTGTTTTCGAGAATTAATACCTCACATCAGTGTGCACTTAGGTTTATTGATGTTTGCTTGATGTTTGTCGATTCTTGTATTTTGATTGCAATATTTGCAATATGTTGAATATCGTGAGGTATCATACAAAAGTATTAGGAGCATATAATGTTACGAGACGCATACTTAGCCGACAATACTTGTTTACCAATACAAGAGCTGGTGTTGAGCGATGTAACAATATTTCTTTGAAATACTGTTCAAAATTCTCGTTACAAAAGGTAATGAACATTCCAATATGATCTGCATATCTGACAATGCTGTGTAATTTTAAAAAACTGAACGATGTTTAATATTAAACTAATTTTAACGACAGAAACCACTTAAACAAGTAAACGTCATAATTCGTAATTATGCCTCAAAACCAAGCGGTAAACACGAGAAAATCGTGGGATCTTGGTTGCTCACCTGTGGCGGCATGGTTTTTATAGCAGTCGCATTAGGTACTCTTATTTATTTTGTATATTATCACTACATTTGTGTCATACTTAAGAACATTATAAAAAAGACATATGGAAAATAGAATTTCAAATTAATATTTCTCCTCTTCATGATCTAATGGAGTATCTATGTGCAATTAAAATTTATGTAATATTTATTCACACAATAGACATTAAGCACTTGTTGAGGTAAATAAAATATATTTATATTTATGAAACAATCGAAGATTATTTTTCCTTTCTTCTATGTATTTAGGTGGTATAACAAGACTCACTGAATCAGGCTTATCTATGGTTACCTGGAAATTGTTAGGAGAAAAAATGCCTTTTAATGAGGCTCAATGGCTTTCAGAATTTGAACGTTATAAACAATTTCCTGAATATAAAATGTAAGAAATAATTGATAATGTCAAAAGATTAATTTATGTAAATATATATATACATGTATATATACATGTATATATATACATGTATGCTATATTAATTTTGCTGTAGAATCAACCACAGTATGACGTTGGAGGAATTTAAACGTATTTGGTGGATGGAATATTTACATAGAATGTGGGGACGTTTAATCGGCGCTGTATTTATAATTCCAGCAACATATTTTTGGTATAAGGGTATGCTAAAACATGGAATGAAAACACGTGTTGTTGCCTTAGGATCATTAATTGGTCTGCAAGGACTCATGGGGTGGTATATGGTTAAATCTGGATTGGAAGATCGTTTTATAGAACCTTCCGATATACCACGGGTGTCACAATATCGTTTAGCTGCACATCTTGGATTAGCGTTGCTCCTATATACTGGATTTCTTTATAACGCTTTGGATCATCTGATTCCTGCTCAAAAGATAACTGCTAATTTCTCTGATCCTACAGTTGCAAATACACTGAAAGCACTCAAAAGGTTTAAAGGATTAATTCATTCAACAAAAGGACTGATATTTATCACTGCTTTATCAGGAGCATTTGTAGCTGGAATGGATGCTGGTCTTATTTATAACACTTTCCCAAAAATGGCTAATAAATGGATACCTGATGATATACTTGCCATATCTCCAGTATTAAGAAACTTCACGGAAAATCCAGCTACAGTTCAATTTGATCATAGGATTTTGGTAAGTTTTATATACACACACACACACACACACACACACACACACACACACACATATATATATATATATATATATGTATGTATGTATGTATATATATATAATCACTAGTATATTATATTATTTCATATGTACATTATTTATTTAGGGAATTACCAGCATAGCATTAATAACTTGTTTGGGTATTTTGTCTCGTAAACATAAACTTCCTAATCGAGGAAAAAAAGCTGTGGTTGCAGTACTTTGTGCTGCTTATCTTCAAGTACTTTTAGGCATTTCGACTTTATTATATCATGTTCCTGTAACATTAGCCGCATCACATCAATCTGGTAGTCTTATACTTTTAAGTACTATAATTTGGCTGTGCCATGAATTAAGATATTTAGGAAAGTTCGCTAAATAAATTCTTATTTGCAAAATACTGAAATACTATAATTATATATGTTTATAACATTTGTGATAAATTGTATGTATATATGTATATATTAAAATAAAAAAGATATTTATTCACAAAATAAACGTGATATTTTTAAAATTTATTTTCTTACGTTATATTATTTATAATTATTTTAATAATAAGATATAGAACTTTTCAATACTTTTATAACGTTTTTACGCTTTATTTCACAATATATGTTATAATAATTAGTGTTAATCTTAGGAACTATAATATATATATATACACAACTTTGTTTTCTAAATAACAATGTATATTATCAAACAGATGTAACATGAAATAATTGTTTTTGTTTAATTATAATTAATTTTACGTTTACAAAATGCGACACGATTTCAAAAAATATCAGTGCACAAAGATTGTGAATATATGTGCATAACAAAATTGAGTGGTTTAATATCATTTAAACAATTACTTTGAAATATATGTAAATTATGCCAAAGCAGAAATAACTCTTTTATCTTATTAGATATAATTTATTATTTAACTCAATTCTTCAGAAAATATCTTTACATATAGAGCACTTATTCTCTATTATGGCCAATTATTTGTTGATTTTAAAATACTTCGCATGCATTGGTCCAATACAGTATTATTAATATTAAGTACCATTTTTATCAGGCAGTTAAAATTACATTTCATTATTATAACAATTTTTATTTACATAAGAGTTATTTTCTTCCTATTTTGGCGACGTTTAACATCACACTTTTGCTTAATATTAAACTGAGCGCTAGTATTAATAGAACTTGCATTTTATTTTTGTATACGAAAGAAAGTATTCAAAACCAAATTTTATACTAATTATTGTTACACATAATTTATAAATATAAATATACGTGAATTATATAATATTCTAGAAAAATCTTATTTAATATATCTTTTGAATTTGTTAGTATATATGTGTGCGCGCGTGCGCTTGTATTTATTGTATAATAGAGCAAATCTTTTGATGAAAGAACTAATGATTACCGTGCTCAATTTTTACCATACAAGTTGTATTGATATTTTTTTTATAATTTGAATACTTTTAAAATTATTATGAAATAATTAATGTATATATTATATCTGACAAGCTTACATCAGTTTGATAAAAAGATTTATTTTTATCATGACTCTTCTGCAATGAACAGTACTTAATAATTAATATTACATATTAATATGCGTATAAATGCAATTTCATAATTTCTTTATAATTTTTTCAAATATATTAGTCTCTCTTTGTTGTCTTTTCGTGAAAAAACAAATTTTCACTTTATTGACATCTTTAGAAGAAAAAAAGAAATTGATATCATAGCTGACAAAGTTAGATACCAGAGCTAATAAAATATTAAAATTTTCATGAACTAGTCGAAATTGGGCAGTGCAGATTTTTATACAGTTGAAGTGATACATAAAATATAAGATTATCACGATCAAATCGTCTTATTTAGTAATGATAACCATTGACTTGTTTGATGCAAAGCATTCTTTGAGAACTTGTGTCTGGTATATACAATATATGCAATATGTATATTGCATATATAGCAACTCTATTGGTTATATAATTCGTAATTTTGTTTATGTGAGATAAATGCAAATTTCCTTTACTTAGTCTTATTATCGTAATTCTCTTCTAAATGATTCAGTTGTCAAAATCTTACTCAACATCTTAACTATTACCTAAAAAAATATTAGGCCTAAAAAATTATATTTTTACGAGAAGATAATAAAAGTATAATTTAAAATTATTTTATTATATATTATATATATGTGTTAGAAAATAGGACAATTGGTATATTAAAACAAAAATATTAATTTAATGAAGAATATATGTATTAAACTGAAAGAAATTCTTATATTATTCTCTTATGTAAGACTAACTCGTGACAAAAATTAGAAAGAAATAAGTCAATAGTTGCAAGTACAACATAGAATATCGTTATAAATGAGTTCTAAGTATACTTTGCAATGAGTATTATATTTTCTTTTCACTATTGTCCATTGAATATAATTATTCCCCTTGTATTCGTATGTGATGTAATGACAATGACACGAATAGATAAAAAATTACCATTTCCCCTATTTTGCAAAAGCAATATATATCTTATACTTTATATAATATGTATAAAGTATATATATGATTTTTATACATATATTTTTCTATTATAAAATATCTCACATAATGGCCGTTCAGTTTTAATGCATAATTTGTCACTTTTAATGAGTTTTACAGTAAAACTCATAATAAAAGAAAGATTTTGATGATAATGTGAAATTGTAAACTTACACATTATGAATTATAAAAAATAGTATGTCCATATATTTGTATGTATATATATCTTACGTAAATATAAATAAATCATTTCAGTCAATTTTCTTATTGCAGAAAATACATTGTATTGAAGAAAGCCGAATTTATAAAGATATGCCTTTTTATTCTATTAGTATTTTCTCTCTCTTTCTCTCTCTCTCTCTCATTCTTACATAACTTTTTTACATTGTATAATAAAGTGTATGGATAAATATATGATACAACAAAAAGAAAATTGATTGCACTTAATTTGCAATTTCATTAAATGATGAAATTTGTAATAAAAAATTTTGTATGTGTTATATTATATAACCAATTTATCTTAAAATGATTTATCACTTACGATGATGTGACGAAATATTAAAAACCATAATATTCTTACTTTGATATAGGATTAACAAGTTTTGTTAACAAGCGTAAAAGTATGCTCCTATTGATTGCTGATTGAAACATTCTTCATTATATGTTTGTTATCAGTTCAACTAGTCTTCCCGCAGATATTATCTGATTTCTCTGGATTTACAATTACTTGTATTATGTAACCTGGTTGTACCTTAGCTTCTTCTATATGCATTTTATCACCAAGCAATTTACCACCAAAAAACCACCTTTGACGTGAAGGTTCCAAACCTTCTTGACTCTATAAACAATAAATTACAATCATTATTACTATAATAATAATAATAATAATAATAATTATTATTATTATTATTATTATTATTATTATTATTATAAGCAATTATTCTCATATAACATATACATATATACACTCAATGAAACATATAACTAATATTATTACAAACCTGTAATTTTTTTTTAGCAACAGCAATGGTATCATTGCTATAAACAGGTAGTTTAACTTCTCCTAAAGTAGTTGACAGTCTAAGTTTTAAAGTTTGTTCTGTTCCTTCGTCAACTGGTTCTATACAAAATTGATGATACAGGAATAAGATAAAAAACTATATTGTAAATTGTATTATATCAAGATAAACTCTTTCAAAAATTTTATTACCTGAGCAATCAGCAGGTGAATCTCTTCCACTATCTTCTTTTACAATATTAATTGGGTAGGATAAACAATAAATAGGTACTTGATAACGTGTTCCTAACTCATCGTAACATTCAGTTAAGAAACCATTTGGTACAGAAATATTAGCCCCATCTAATATAGCCTGTGCCAATTGATAATCCTGTGCTTCAGCTGCAGTTGCACCTGCTCTCAATGCATCCCAAATCTCTTTACGACCATCAAATGCTGGTGCAGTGTCCCAAAACTCATCTCGCTTACTTCTTAGCTGACCTTCGGTCAGAGGTACATCAGATTTCCATCTGATTACCTCGTGACACAGAAGATGATTTTTTCTTGTATTTCCTACATAAGTAAATTATTTTAGTCACAGAGATAAATAGAAAACAACTTATTAAAATCGTCAAAATCTTTGTCAAATCTTGTTGTAAGAATGTATGTACATTTCTCACATTTACGGAATTGTATTTAAATAACAAAAATTTGCATAATGGTAATGGACAATCCAATCTTTTAAGTTTTATATGTTTCTTTTTTTGTTAATTAGTTAATGGTGTAATTGTATTTTATATGTTCCTTGTTTTTATTATTTAGCTAATATATAATTATATATAATTATGTATTACAAAATTGCAGTAGATAATAAGACTTAGTTAAAAGCATATTTTATAATAGATAAGAAGTTATTGAACTAATGCAAAACCGTTAGAAAGTGTTAAGTAAAAACTAGTCTTATATTCTATAAAATACAAGCATTATTATTATGTTGATGTCATAATATTATTTAAACCTCATTTATATATGCACTGTACTTAAATAAGTAGATATGATTGACATTACACTTAATAGATAACATACACCTCAAATACAAAGACAAAAATAAAATTAAAATGACTTCAAGGTTAGTTGATGTTCAATGTATTTCCTACAAAAGAAATTTCGCGGTAGCAATCCTACCCGAATTAGTTCTGCTCGAATTTTCCGACGTATCATTGATTGAGGCATTTCTTGCCCTCGTTATACCTATACAGCCTCCCATTCTACACAATCGGAGCAAGTAAACATCTCACTAAAATTTAATAACACTTCGCATGCCATTTTCTTCCATCTTATCCAATCGAACTCTCGCCGTAGCCATATTGCATGCTTTCAAGGAGAAATGGGGTTCATGTCCTCACTAACTACAATTTGAAACTCCGCTAATAATAAGTGGGGTTTGAGTCTTCGCTAAATGGGGTTTGAGTCTTTGTTAAATGAGATTTATCACGGAATAAAAAGGAGACTTAAATGGTCGATCCCGAAAAAAATGAGCTCGAAATAGACTTATAAAATAGACGGAGCGTTCATACGAGAGCAGTTGAAGATAACAGAAGGAAAGAGCTCTACTCCAGACATACTTATTTCTGTCTTTCAAAGTGAGCGATGGTGGACCAATCAGCTTGAATGTAAGGCTACAATTCTCGAACGTCTATCTTCGTTGCTCTCGACTATTTCCCGGCCTGCCGTGACGACCAATCAATTCACTACTAGAAAAGAAGAGAATTACTCTGCGACTAGAGAGCTTCACAGAGAGAGAGAGGCAAATTGCATCACGTGACTCGGTTTCCTCTAATTGGATCTAATATTTAAGCTTCGTAGAGTTATGGTGGGGGTATGCTGTTTAAATTAAATGACTGCAAAAGCAATACGCTTGTTACCTGCTTGTGCTGCAATTTTCTTCTTAATTTTACAATTGATAAAGTCTTTATAAGTGATACATATTATTAATTTTGGAAATATATACCTTCCTCTATTGTACATATATACTATGGTTTATGAAATAAACCCATACAGCACAGAAAAATTGCAGAAACATTGCAGAATGATTTCACTGAAACATTACAATATTGCATGGTGATTGCAAAACGTTGCTGAATCATTGTTGCAAAATTCCAACAATGTTTAAATGTTCGCTTTTTGTTATGTTGCAACAAAACGTTCCAATAATATTGTAATGTAATGTATTTGGATAAATTTTTTACGAAGACTCTAAAATGAAAACTATTTCTATACACATCTTACTAACTTTAATTTTTCTACAAATCGCATTTCTAGTGACATGTTCTTTCCAAAAGTAATTTTTTACGATAAAACCATAAAATATTCCAATAAATGTAGTAATTAATTTTGAAAGATAAATTTATTCGAAGGATAAAGCATATATGCATGTGCCCTGAACAAACTACAAATATTATCCACAATAATAATATAATAATACAGTCGCTTGATAAGATAATCATGGATTAAGTTAATCGCAGTGATTCTTTTTAATTCAAAATCATTCCGAATTAATTGAAATCGATTAAAAAATAATGGTATAAAATTTATCAATAAAATTCGGGCGCTAGTTTATTCTTGCGTTCACATCAGGCATAAATACATCATCGATCACATAATTAATATTTCGATAAATCGTTTTCAGCAGTTTAATTGCTTCATCTTATCCAATAATGATGCATTGATTGTGTATCCAAACTTGATATACAATCTTTTGATTTCATATTTAAAATAAATATAAAACTTAGCTAATGAAATGACTGTCAAATAGATCAATAAATTTTTTATTTAAATATAAAATGAATTATATTAATTATTATATCATAAAAACGACTGTTAAACTAAAAGACTGTACATAAATATTGTAAAGAATTTACATTTTTATATTATTGTAACACTTAGAGAATTACAGTTTTGCAATGTTTGTGGAATATTACAAGCATATTACTGACATTTTGCAAGCATATTGTTAATTTACATTTTTGTAACATCTCTGCAATGTTACATTGCAATATTGCAACATTGCAGTATTCAATCTTCTGTGCTGTATGGGAAACTACGAATTTTTACATTTCAGATATCTGAACAGGATTTGTGCATATTATAAAATCCCTGCCAGCAATGCTTTAAGATGCACAAACTCTAATAAAGAAAGATATTGCATAACATTTACCCAAGATCCAAACTCAAGACAAAAATGGATTGATACTGCCTGAAATTCCTGATTGGAAACCTTCAGCTTTACTGTGTGAGATTGGTATCGAAGCGTGCATACAAATTATAATGTAACTCTCGTAAACACCAACAAAAATAACATCAATGTTATAATTTCTCATTCAATATCAATGTATTAAATTCAATATAATGCGAATGTATGTAACAATTACGTAATTGCGTGAAGAATTGTAACATATTGATGTTACATTAATGATAGTTGGTGGGACAGATATTTTTCTCTAACGTGTCCTCTTATTTTTTAGATTCATTTCCATTCAGAATTATTCCGCGTTGGTAGCAAAAAAATTATGAGGACAGGTGCCATACCAAATTTGTTTTGCAAATGTGATGAAAGTAGAAAGAAGAACAAAATTGAAACATGTTATTCATAATGATAGATTGCGCAAAAAAACTACCAATTTTATGTTATTGAATTATCAGTATTTTTCTTTTCTTGTTGTAGATGACAATTTATAATAAATGTTGTATAATATATCTTAAAAATTTATGTTGAATAAATATTTTATATTTTTCTTGATTAATGACATATATATTTTTTATGATATTAGTACTTTATCTTTTATGTTTCTTACGATTAAAAAATTAAATATAATTATTTTGCTACAAATTTTATTTTTATTATCAAACCGCTTTAATATTAAAAACATACATATTCAAACACTTTCACTTTTAAAATCTTAATGTGAAAACATAAATAAAAAATAATTAAAGGGATTTTCATATTGTTTGTTTTAGAAAAGAAACAAGTTTGGAAAAATATTAAAAAAATTGCTCATACATAATTATGTATAATTTTATATATAATTATACATAAGTAATTTTTTTACATTTCTTCTTGATTTTTTTCTAAAACAAATAATACGAAAATTACTTTTTTAATTATTTTTAATGTATTCATATTACTATTATTATTTCTATTACACTAAAAAGTAATTTTACAAAAGAAAGAAAGATATATGAACATGTATGGACATATTTCATATAAAATTGCATGTTTGAATATTTATACATATTTATGTATGTTTATACATAATACATAATTGTATTTATACATAATTATACATAATTATGCATATTTATTTATAAAAAATTTTTTACCGGGAAGCTAAGAAATGATAATGAAAAAGTGATTTATTCGTCATTGATATTTATAACTTAATATATAACAAAAAGAGACCTAATGGAAATGAAATTATATACAAATAAAAAGTAAAAGCAGGAACCGGCCCAAATGATTCTGTACAAAAAGCACGCACTCTTAGCGCTTTTTTTATCTTTTTTTAAAAAAAGATAAGTATAAATGATAATAAATAATACCATTTGTGTTTTACTTTTTTTAATTTGATAGAATTTAACTTAATTAGTCGAGATAGCATTTGGGTTTTAATTTTTCATTTGATATTTTTTATTTACATTAATTTTTTTCGGAGAGTAATAATTTTTGATAGAGAATTAAAGTTGCCATTGTAAAAAAAGGTAAAAACAATTTACTTTATAATTGAATATTATATACAAAGGACCGGTTTTACCAACTCAATTAAGCCGAATCGGTGATTAACTGTCAACTATAAGTAATCAATTTTACTAAACAACACGATTAGTCAGTTCCACTGCCAATTAAGTAATTGGCGTTAGTGAAATGGGTCCAAATAATTCTTTACAAAAAACATGCACTCTTAGCCCTTTTTTTATTTTTTTTTAAAAAGATAAGTTTGGGTGATATTACGCAGCTCTAATAACTATTCAGATAAAGAAAATTTGTTTTCCTTACCTGAATAATCGCTTCTTAAAGCACTGTCGCATTTTTCTACTTAATTTACTACATTCTCTCATTTCAATGAAAATGTATCGAATGAGTATATTTTTATCAAGTTTTACGATAACATCCATTTTCTAAGGCTACATTCCAAAACGTCCTCTTCGAGGAAAATTTTATCGAAATAATTAACAATTATTAACGTGTAATTGATGCATGTTTCCATATGTACAAAAGCCAAAATGTTTTTAATCTCTGTAACAATTTGTAAAATCTTGTGCCGTGTAATATATGTACTATATATTACATTTCCTAATACTTACAATGTTGCAGCGATATTATAGCGCAATCTGCAATATTGCAACATTTATTTAATGTTACTGCAAGTTTCTGTGCTGTATGGGAACATTTAATACAAAGATGTCAAAAACCATCGTGTTTATTGAGAGCCAATATGTTATATTAAAATCTTTTTTTAATAATTCACGAAATATTCATGCAATACAAACAAGAATTAGTTAAAAAAATAAGGAAAAAAATAAAAATTTTTTTAGTTACAAAAAATGTACACTCTGTACACACGATGGGTCATTTGTGAAAGTGAAAAGTGAATTCCGGAGTTATTCTAGTTAAAGGATACACAAATTAAGGCCACCATAAAACTTGTTTTCTAGATATCAAACTTTTTTTAGGAATAGAAGAGAGACCAACATTTGAGCGGATGCTCTTTATAGTATTTCGAAAAAAAGGAATACGCAAGACAAATGATCCAAAGATGTGAATTAAGGATTAAAAAGTGATAAAAGCAAAGTTATACGCAAATTAAATTTTAACTGGATGATATAATATACTAGTTAATATAAAATATATAATTAAATAATAATTAGCTTTTTTTATTACTTCTACGAATATACGTCATAATGTTATTAGAGATGTAAATGCGGAATGACGAAAAATATCAATGCGCAGTACTGCAGAGCGTTTCAGATCAATACGAAAATGCGCGCACATCGGTTTTCCTCGCTCGTCTTCGTAGTTTGCGATGGGTTGGGGATTATTCCAGTCGTGAGCTCGTCCAGCATGTTTATTCCGAAGAATTATCGAAGATATTATTGCTCAAGATAATTCTTTTCATCGATTCCATTAAAACAGTTATCTTTTAGAATTTTATCAGATATTTATTTGTATCAGAAATAAAGTTTAATTGCGATGCAATGCATCTCAGCGTGTGTGAGAATGTGAGCCTGCTCAATTGAATAAACATGATGGGGACGAGATACGCATCGTGTAATTACATAGTGTTTATTATACATTATTTTCTGTCTGTTATAGGAAGAAATAAATCTTTATTGTAATATATACTAGAGATATACTATTTTAAATAATAAGTAATAAGTATCTCTTAATTAATTTTAACAAATTGATATAATTTTTAAATATAAACAAACAATTTTTAGAAATTTTTAAATATTTTATAAAATTATTAAATTTTGCAGATAGTCTAAAGCTTGCTAGTCTACATGACGCTTATCAACGATTACTTTATGGAACCCAGCCGATACCTTCCGGTTTTGACATCGCAAATATATTGAAATATTTTTCTCAAACCTTGCTATGTAAGTAATTGATGTACAAATTGCGTATAATAAATTTGTTTTATTTACTTTTAGTATTATAATTATAGATTACAATTTTCTTATAATCGATCAGTAAATCTTCCCTTTCTCGGAATATTCTTATCAAGCTTTCTCTCTCTCTCTCTCTCTCTCTCTCTCTCTCTCTCTCCTTTATATTATAAGAATATTTATGTTCTCGTTTTTCAATATAATCGCTTAAATAATCTAGTAAATGAAATATAACAATAAATATTTTCAGGTCTGTTAAAAGAATCGTCCGTTTCGCCATTCGATATGATCAAATCGCAACAGCTCGATGGAGAACGAATGGCTTTGTTCCCAAATTTGGATTACAAGCAGCTTTACAATGCGTTAACGCAGATGATCGATGTTACACCGTTGATCCATGTTGGTTTGCCAGGTTTGTCTTCATTATTCTATCGTTATTATTATTACATAAAATATGTTATTATATAAAATAGAAAATTAGAAGTGTTACTCATACTTGACTCTAATAAAGTCTAAAAAAAAAAAAAAAATTCGTTACTTTTTCTAACAATTATCGAGAAAATAGCATATATTAAAACTTAATTATAAAACTTAATTTTACATATCTTCTTCATATGGTATATATAAATAAAAATATAAATTTTAATATTACTTTCAATAATTATGGATTACAATTTTCTTATAAACCAGTAAATTTTCTCTCGGAATATTCTTAAACATCTTAATTCTATGCATATAATTAATTTACGTTAATTTTTTTAGCATTCGGAAAAGCCTTGCTACAATGTCTAGCGTGCATGCTGCTGTTCTTGGATCACGATTTAATCGACAATTTATCGTACTTAACTGCCAGTACGATATCAGTACTTCCTGTGGAGCTGCATGAAGAAATTGTCAATTATCTCTGTTTTTACATTTTACCGTTTACCATCAGTGAGTTTTTCCATTACATTTATATTTGTATCGGTATTATTCGAACTTGTGTATGTTATATGATAAGCACACATTCTCGTCTTTCTAAGAGAGAATAACAGCTGCCGGGAGGGAATGTGAGTGTGGAAAGAAAATATTAGTATTTTACCGATAGGAGCTTTTCCGTTAAGTAAAAAATTGGCTTGCCGGCTAAAAAAAAACTAATTGATAAAGCGTAGAATAGTGCGCATTTTATTAATAATTAATTTAAACATAAGCTTTAATTATCTATATATACAGATACATGTATAAGCAGATTTAATAATTTTATTTTTATGAGATGACATTATCCAGATTAGCTTGCAGTTACATTTACATATTATTAAGATTTTTATTATTATTGTAGTACTTGAAAGCTAATGGTAGAAGAAGAAAAAAGTTTTTAAAGATTTTTATTACAAACACTTTAACTTTCAGCAAGGAAACCTGAAATTGGAGACGAAAGTGCCGCTAGTCAATCAGTGGCCGCTGTTATAATGATGGTGTTTCAATATTCCAATAATCCAGGTATCATATATAATATAACGTATGTCGTAGGAAAAAGTATAAATTAATACAATTTAATTCAAAATTATATTAAATGAGGTAATTTGTGTTAGTACCTTTACAGGCTTTTCTAAAATCTTGTATTATTATGAAAGTATGTATATACCCGAGTAGAAATTTTCGTAGGGCCCTCCTCAGGCCCATGTACGGCTTGCCCTACTTCAGATCAGGTATAAATCCGGTGCCTTAATAGGGCCCTAATGCTACATGTAACGCCACGTATTAAATGACCCTGATCAGAGAGATATGCTCTAGTTGGGAATTTCTCACTTGGGCCTGATCAGGAAATGATAAGGTATGCCTTAGTCTTTCTCTACTGATTAGAGACCGATCAGGCAACATGATTAGGGCTCGTGTCGCGGCGATCACGGCGTTTGAGCGAGTAAAAGTTATAGAGAGAGAAGCAAGTTGGAGCATGCGAACAAACCTATAGTCTTCCG